TGTTAGTGATGGTTGATGACACAGGAAGGTTTTATAATGACTACCAGTAAACATCTATTGTAAGTGATGCTTGATGACGAAGGAAGACTTTATAATAACTTCATTAAACATCTTTTCTCCTCATCTCAACATCTGTAACACATAAATAATGGCCCTGTCACTGCGCAGAAATAGGCCATGCTTTCCACCAGATATTGATATCCCCGGTTTGGAAGTGGATTAAGAATAATTTTTCTTTCAGAATCCCATTTAGAGTGAGCCACCGGTTCTATGAACTTTATCTCCCCAAGGGAACACATATAATATTGACACAGAAGCTCGTGCATAGCTGGATTTCTACCTCATATTTTTCTCTAGATTCCATTATGTTGTTAATTCTACAACTGTTTTCGCTCCACTAAGTAAAAGCAGTCCCTGATAATGTCTCAATCAGTCTCCCCATATACTACACTGCCTCCTTCATGTCAGAAATCAATCAACACATCGTATTTGATGGGAGTATTAAAATCCTTATCAAATAATGATGATCACTTTTAACAGTTGACTTACTTCTTAGTAATTGTGATGGTTTCTGTAATTGAATAACTTATAAGTTGATTTTTGTATATTGTTATGTATATAGACATCTCAATTTGTGAAATGACCTGTTCTTGAAAACGGTAATGCAAAGTGATTGTCATTGTCATAAACTTGAGAGTGTAATGTGTCTAAATTCACGTTTTCATCTAGATTTTAATATGCGGTTAATTCTACAATTGTTTAATAAAAGCAGTCACTGAGAATGTCTCAGTCCGCCTCTGTCTCCCCATAAACTGCACTCACTGGTCTCATTTATCTCAGAGATTTGACTCAACACTATAATTTTTAAGTAACAATATTCAGAGGTCAGTACTGTAGTTCTTTTATTTTGAAGTCTGACTAATGTACCTGTAGGAACATATATTCCTTAGAAGACAGACTGTAGATATTTTAGGACAGTGGCCAATTACAAGTGGTAAATAAGGCGTCTGACATTCTGCTACCACTAGCCCTCAACCACTTGGTCGCAGGTTCGAGGCCTACGTGGTGCAATCGCCAGAAACTGGCCGTAGGTCGATGGTTTTTCTCCAGGAACTCCGGCTTTCCTCCACTAACAAAACCTGGCACGTCCTTAAATGACCATAGCTGTTAATAGGACGTAAAACAAACACAAACAAACCATACCAAACAAAAAACTGTAGATGTTTTAAAGCATTAAAAAAAAACTTGCCTTGCTTTAATTACAAATCCCATTCAATTTCTAATCCTTATGCCATTCACCAAGAAATTCAAACAAAAGTACGACTGGCAAGGAGATAATCACCTGAAGTCTATATCTGTTTGTAAATGTAGGAGTTCATTGTACAGGAGACAATACTAGTATCTCTACTTGTATGATGGTAAGAAGAAGCCTTAAGCATGGCCTTACTACCTTGTTAATGTATAAATGAGTGTAGAAACAAACAATGACTTCCAGAAACTGATATAAGAAAGGACCTTGGTTTGACCTTGACCTGGACTGATCCGGTCTCAGTATCTCCATAGAGACAGTAATTATATCATTTGTTGACATGGTACAATTCCCAACAGAACTAATTCAAGTAAAATGTGATTTAATTTCATTGGCAATTTTTAAGCATAGCAATCTTTATTGAAAATTAAAAAATGATGATCTGTACCATAGCGCAGACAAGGGTAATTTTCTAGCCCATCTTGCTCTAAAAGTTGTTATGTTAATGGCTGTGAGAATTGGAATGTTAATCACTGTTTTGGAGGCATGGTGGTGGCGGAGTAGCGTTTTATGATATTGCTGGTATTCCCTGATCATAAAAACGTAATACAACTTTGACAGAGTTGAACTTTATTAAATAAATTATCTTAAAAAAAATCTATGAAATGTCAAAAGGGATTGGATTTCATTTTCCCTTTTTGGAAAGCTACGTAATAAAATCTTCACCATTTATGCGTAAAATTTTACACCATTTGATGTAATTGATTGTATATAGTGCCAATACATGTACTTGTATCAAGGTTTCGCAGATGAGTGAAATCTGTGCATACTTAATGAGGTTCCAGGCTCTGTTCCGATTGGTTGAATCCGGACAAACTTTTCGATGTGGTTACTTTCCAGGCATAGCATTTTAGATGTTGTTATGATAATACGAGCACATGATAGATAGTAACATTAATTCTGCATATTCGCTTGTTTCTGTACAAATATAGCATGAATGTATGATGAAGGAAAAGTTGGCAAACAGGTTTGAATTGAATATCTTGAGATGTGGATGATGGACTATGATAGAGATGCTATATTTCTATTCCCAGGGTTTGGGCGGGATTAAGGAAGTTCTGCTATGAGAGATATCTAACAGTGTCAAACACTCTGTCCTTATCTGATGCTTCATGTTAAAATCAATTTCTATTATTTTTCCAATAATTATTTGGGCAAATATGTTACTGACCTGTCACTTTCTCATTAATAATCAATAGTGGTACGATATATACCGATCCAGCATGGCAATAGAGAGGAGGAGGTTGATCCCTCCAATATCGCCATCCATCTTCTCCTTATCTCAGAGTTTCCTTCTGAATATCGCCATCCATCTTCTCCTCATCTCAGAGTAATATCGTTCCTCATCCAATTTCTCCTCATCTCAGAGTTTCCTTCAAATATCGCCATCCATTTTCTCCTCATATCAGTTTCCTTCAAATATCCCTGTCCGTCTTCTCCTCATCTCAGAGTTTCCTTCAAATAACCCCGTCCATCTTCTCCATATCTCAGAGTTTCCTTCAAATATCCCCATCCATTTTCTCTTCATCTCAGAGTTTCCTAAAAAATATTGCCATCCATCTTCTCCTCATCTCAGATTTTCCATCCAATATCCCTGTCCATCTTTTCCTCATCTCAGAGTTTCCATCAAATATCCCCGTCCATCTTCTCCATATCTCAGAGTTTCCTTCAAATATCCCCATCCATTTTCTCTTCATCTCAGAGTTTCCTAAAAAATATCGCCATCCATCTTCTCCTCATCTCAGATTTTCCATCCAATATCTGCATCCATTTTTCCTCATCTCAGAGTTTCCATCAAATATCCCCATCCATTTTCTCCTCATCTCAGAGTTTCCTACAAATATCGCCATCCATCTTCTCCTCATCTCAGATTTTCCATCCAATATCTGCATCCATTTTTCCTCATCTCAGAGTTTCCATCAAATATCCCCATCCATTTTCCCATCTCTGAGTTTCCTTCAAATATCCCCATCCATCTTTTCCTCATCTCAGAGTTTCCTTCAAATATCCCCATCCATTTTCCCATCTCAGAGTTTCCTTCAAATATATATCCCCGTCCATCTTCTCCTCATCTCAGAATCCCCTTGCCCTTGTTCTCGCTGCTAATCTGTCCTATCCCCCCTCCCTCCTACCTCAGTGTCCGCAACATAGAGAAAAAAGAACAAAAATAACATAATCGCCATAAGATATTGCAATGCAATCCGGAATTTTCCAATTATCACCAAAAAAATATATCAATTTCAGAGAGAAAAAATTAACATGTTTGTGATGACTCAAACCAGTTAAACTTTGAGGATGGAATTAGAAGAATGTTTATAGAATTTTACACACAACTTTAGATGTTGCTAAATAAATAAAACATCTAAAACACTATTGGAACATCAATCGTAGCCACGTCATCAGTGGCTACACTGATGGTATGCATGTTCATCCATACGACGATTATCTAACCAGACGAGAATGGACTTTACATGTATCGTAAGCATTCATGCAGATAACCTATGTGAAGTGATTTTCAAACCTGATATACTGTTTGCTTTATCAATCTGCGAAATAAATTTTGAAAAAAACTATCTTGATGCAAAAAGGCTTTTCACTGATAAGCACTGCAGGCTTTGAAATGTTGACGAAATGATGTGATAATAGTTTGACTACATTACAGCAATACTGTCCACACAAAACTTTCGTTCTCACGACAATTTAAAAATCTCGCTATCACAAAAACCTATGTAATTGTATTTGCGTGATTCGTCAGATCAGTTCTAGGTGGTAAAGTGTCCATAAAGATTGACATTTTGTTGTCAGCAATTTCCAAATGTTTGGCTTCATAATCTACCTCCTCAGCTTCTGTGTGTCAATCAAATGCCCTTTGTGATGTATAGCAATCTTTGAAGCAGATTATAAGACTCATTCATGTCCATGGGTTTTGCCAAATTTGAAAATATCAATTTTCCCCCTGAGCTTTTTAGACGAAAACAAATTAGCCAGCCAGATTTAGCATATCCCATATTTGTAAACAGCGTTTGCACAGAAAATTAATCACATATTTCTAATGTGTACGGTAAATATATTGTGAAAGGTTTTAATTTCATCACGTCGCCTATTCCGCAGTGCGGCATCAGAAAGTTCCAAATTCGTGACATCACGTCATTGTTGAGCCATTGTGACATCACATCACCTGAAATGGGGTGTTAGATAGAATTTCCTACACCCCTTTCTTACCCTGGACAGCTCTATCTTACACACAATGAAATGAGAGAAAACTTTGTATAGCCCCTCCTTTAAACATTGTCTGACTGCCTCGGACATTACAGCTTAAAACTTTTGACAGCCTGGTTTATAAAATTTGATATTGAAATGTTTTCTATATACTTTGAGTCGTGATAGTTCAAGAGATATCACACAGTGGTCACTTCAAATGAAGCCTAGATACACAGTGTAAATATCTGTATGAAGGATGATCCCTCACCATTTCTGAAAAAGAAAACCATACCTCGGGGGACTTTTTTGAGGATGAACAAAAAATAACCTACAGTAGTTTTGTGAGTGTAATATCTGAGATGGCACGAAAAAGATTCCAATCCTAAACTTTCCAATTTTTAAACTTTCGCTCTACCCAGTCGGTGGAAGTCATAATTTTTTGTGTGCTGTTTAATTGTTTTATAACCATCTACATTTTTTGTATTTTCAGTCATCCTGCCGAGACTGGCAGCCATGGCATCAGCCAACAACCACCTGTCGGCAACGGAGGGTCGGAAGCGAGACATCGCCCTGCTGCTGTTCGAGGCGTACAGTGCAATGTCTTGTTGCTGTATCCTTTCATGGCCATATCACTTGTCATTTTTGTGGTGCTTTTATTGTCGATAAAATTCACTACTGGTGCACTGTCAAACTTAGGATTTTTAAGATGTTTTATTCATTTTCATTGAGATTCTTGACATGGTATTTATAGCCTAACTCAAGTTTTTAACTTCCTCCAGTTTGGGTTTCAGTGTACTAAGGTCAAGGTCACAGTTTCTATTTATAGAAAATATTTGTCATCCTTCAAACTGCTCCATTCTTTAACAGATGATCAAACTTCATACAATCTTCAAGTATGAGAATGATTTGGGAAAGTTTGTGTTTTAAGGTCAAGATCAGATCACGACCTGCTGTAGTTAAAGAAAATTGTAAACTCTCATGAAAACTTAAATATTTACATGTGTATTAAGAAATATCAATGAAAAATATACATTGCACTGTTTGTGATACCTAGTTAAATTGAAGTTACAATAAGTCCCATCACAAACCTGTATTTAAAAGAAACTAAGGTCATAAATATGCAGAGTTTACCCCCTTACATGATTGACAGTTATCAATGACCAGCTCGTCCAGGAGGCCATGGTTCCTGGTCTACGCTGCCTCAAACACGACGTGGCACAAATCGCACCAGAACATGAGGAGGTGGTTTCCTCCATGATCAAAGACTATGAATCCAAGATGGATTCTGGGAGGCCCGCTGACAGGTACGATAGCTGTAACACTGGTCAGATTAATAATTACAGGATCCATACTAGGTCCAAATATACAATGTTTTCCCCCTTTTCCACAATGTTTTCCCCTTTTTCCGATAAACATTGTCAATTCATTATACATATATAGATATTTATTGCCAAAGGCGTATACCCATGTTTGTTCAGATCAGAAAATTTCTCAGGGTAATCATGTTTTCAATATTGAAATTTTTAAGTTTATTTCATATTTACAAAATTTTGTGAAATTGCACTAAAGTATTTAGCATTAACACATCTGTTAATTCACCATCATCATTGACAAAACACTAATGATGCTGTCTTACACATTGAACTTCTAATTTGAGTAAGAGTTATCCCCCCTAATAACTATTAGGCCTGGCTTATCCTTGATAAGTGTTGGAATTGTTCAGTATTTCTTTGGAGGGTGCTGGTATACATACTGAAGACAATAAACATGGGTTCTTATGAAGAACTGTTTCAAAGTCTTCGTTTGTTGAAGAAGGTATATTTTGTGTAAAAGTAAATAAAAGTTTAATATAAATGAAGTTGTACCAGTGAACTACAAACTGAAAATCTTGACCCCTCTTTTCTGAAAACTTGGACTAAAAAAGTGCTGAGTAAGATTAACCAGGTATGTAATAAAAAGTACCCAGGTGAGAACAGAAGTGTTTGATAGGTATAGTATACACACATATACAGTGTACACCCAAGGCATCCTATTGCATTATATGGAAATTCGTGGTAGAAAGCAAACACTAGAGCTATAACTGCTAAGCCATCACGTCCGAGCTATCAGGGCCAAACCGCTGATTGTTTGAAGTCTTATTGTCTGCTACGTACTTTACGGCCATTGCGTCTAAAGTCTTAGGACAAATTGTTAGGCCGCGCACCAGAGAGCCATTTACTACTAACTTGGTTTGCAGATTTAATCCCATCAATTATCCTGGTGTCGCTATCTTTAGCGATGACTCCCGCTGGACACTAATGTAATCTGCTGATCTAAATGTCACAAGGACAATGTCCAACGAAACATGAAACAACGAAAGTAAGCAACCATGCATCTGAAAGTCAACGGTAAACCAGTCCCAGCGGCCGTGTCAGCTAGACTGTTGAACAGCATTGGAATCCCAGTTTGCTGGTAGACATGATTTGACTCCATGCAGCTAGGGTTAAATGTTTTAAACCCAAATCAGAGTCTTTAAATATTTTTAAAGAGTGTTTATCTTAGGCAGTCGTTAGGGTTAACCCTTTCACCCCTAAAGTCACATTTGAACCTTACCAAATTGAAGACTGAGCAAGTCCAGTTTAAATATGTAGGAGTGAATGAGTTCATGTCAAATTTTACTGCCAGCATTCAAATCAAGTCAGTACCAAATAAATTCAGTCATTGTAGGTTGTTGGAAAGTATCCTCCATTTATTATTAAGATTTCTAAAACCATTTTACTGGTGAAAAGCCATTGGGGCTTGTGCATGATAAGATGTCAATAGTAGGGGGTGGGCTTATTACCAGATATTTACATTTGGTGTGGCAAAGCCCTTCTATATTACTACTAAAGTACTGACAATAGCAGCTTCATCTTATGAGACTATAACTGAAGTTGGTCTTTGCACCTCCGAGCGACTTAACAGTGTCACTACCGAACTTATCGGTATCTTCTGCTTTGATCCCTAACATCAGCTGCCTGTCTCAAGTGTCTGTGAGATCAACAAACAATTTTACGCCTGGAGTTTTCACCAGTTCAACCTTCTCCGGTTGCACAATCAACATCAACAACATGCCGGACCACAAATAAAACTCTGACCTGATGACTGCAGGCTTCCGTTGAGTGCGTGCGCCGGATATAGGTCGCAATAAAATCGGAAAATGTTTTACGACACTTTATTAGTTACTTACAAAATGTCATTTGTTACTATTTATGAATCGAGAATATGATATATATATAAATCAAAATCAAATGAATTATTAACGAAAGTTGCGGAGTCTTTTCAATTTTGTATGGGAAATAGCGCATGACGTCAGCTGTTATCTTTNAACTGCATAGATGTGGCAGACCAACTGGTATAACTGCCACATGTGTCACAGACAAACTTATCATGGTGCGCGAAATATAAGCCTTTGTTTTACAGGTAACCATAAGGCCCAGACTGGACATCATGGTCTGCCATTTTGGTTCCAGATATCAGCTTACCAAATCATACTGATAGTAGTTTGTTTTGTATATACATTTGTATATGTTACGTAAATGTTCGTAAACAAAAATTTAAATCATATCTGGTTCTTAAGTCCCGCAGCAGTGAACTCTAACTGGTTACTTTATACTATGTCTACCTAAAAGTTTGTTTGTTCATCGTCCTTTAAGATGTGTGAAGCTTATATGATGCTGGTCTGGGGGTGTAAACTGGACATGAGTCTCAAAACACAACACTCATCGTGATATCAGGCTTGTATGTTAAAGACGGTGTGAGGACATATTACCCAGTTAGTCGGAACTGTTGATATATACAGTAATACCACTTGTCAGAACCACTTAGAAAGCTCCTTTCACATACAGACTGACTCCAGCATTATTACTCAAACATCCGGCCATTTTTGGACTCCAGGGAGACCAACATACATCTAGAATAGTCTGCAGACAATCAAATTCTGGTACTATAATTAGTGTGGGGCCTACAGGTTGTGGACACGTTAACTTTGTCAGTGTCAGGGAGATGTTTTAACTGGTATGTACTCACAGTGTGGAGCCTGAAACCAGTAACGGGCGACATTCTATTTATCTGTCACCCAAATTTACTGGGTTACTGGGTAATAAACCTTTCCTTTCTGAAGCTTTCTTCATGTCTAAATAAGGATTGTTCATTGCTTGGTTTCAATTGCAGTGAAAACAAGATAATTCAATGAAATTCCAGACTACGTCCACAGCCCTAGTATGTTCGCGGTTCGATTGTGTATCCTGTTTCTAAGTGAATTTGGTTATTTGTCATAATTACCAGGTTTGGATGTAGTTATCGTGAGAGATGTAGTCTTAATGGCATTTATCTCTTGTTGCATTTCTTGTACCATACTGATGTGTAAGAAGTGTGCAACATTGATTTGTAGACTGTATGCACAAGTCAAAACTACACCATGTCGACCCGGCCAGTGGTCCCGTGTATACACTCAGATTAAGGATCCCCATACCACTGCCAAAAATTGAAATTGTTTTTCCTCCATGCCTTCAGATTTGATAATCATTTCTGAAAAGAAAACCATACCTTGCTGGATTTTTATGAAAACATAAATAAACATGAAAGAAACAAAACCATTGGACAGACAACACTATAAGTGTTCTCATTGTTAAAACACAATGGGCTAGCTAGACCAAGATTCCAATCCTGGACATCAAATCACTTTACTGTAGCTCTATCCAACTGAGCTTCCTGGTCAACGGAGGTAGTATGGTCCTGTCGTACTTCAGTTATAATCAAAACAAAATTAACCCTTTCACCACTGTAGACGATAATGAACTCATCCTTATCAATGCATATGGCTGAGTACTAAAGTTACATAGGGGTGGCTGATGTACTGGTTCTCTGTGTACAATATCCACAGTGGCTGATGTACTGGTTCTCTGTGTACAATATACACAGTGGCTGACGTACTGGATCTCTGTGTACAATATACACAGTGGTTGACATACTGGTTCTCTGTATACAATATACACAGTGGCTGATGTACTGGTTCTCTGTGTACAATA